GTTAGGGTTAGGGTTAGGGTTAGGGTTAGGGTTAGGGTTAGGGTTAGGGTTAGGGTTAGGGTTAGGGTTAGGGTTAGGGTTAGGGTTAGGGTTAGGGTTAGATTTAGGGTTAGGGACTTGGTTTGGGGGCAGGGTGTATGGTTATTGGGGTCGGGAGTTGGGACTGGGGTAGGGGGCAGTGGCTTAGCGTTAGGACTAAGATTTAGGGTTAGGGCTGTGGTATGGGTAAAGGGTTAAGTTTGGGGTTAGGGCTGTGGTTAAGGTTAGGGCTGTGGAAGGGGTCAAGGGTTAAGTATAGGGTTAGGACTTAGATTTAAGGTTAGGGCTGTGGTATAGGTAGAGGGTTAAGTTTGTGGTTAGGGCTGTGGTTAAGGTTAGGGCTGTGGAAGGGGTCAGGGGTTAAGTTTAGGGTTAGGACTTAGATTTAGGGTAAGGGCTGTGGTATGGGTAAAGGGTTAAGTTTTTTTGGGGGGTAGGGCTGTGGTTAAGGTTAGGGCTGTGGAAGGGGTCAGGGGTTGTGATTTGGGGCAGGTTTTGGTTTTGGGATTAGGGCGTGGATTAGGGTAAGGGGAACCCCTCTGCTGGCTTCAGTGCACTGTCCATCTATGCCGCGTGACCCCACCTAATCTACCTCTCATTAAGGCCTCTAGGATGCAAAGTATTCAATTTATAGATCCATAATTTTTCTGTTCTTCTTCTTTGCAGGGTGGACCAGTGGGGATTCGACTGGAGGACTGCGACCCTGCAGGCCTCCCATCCATGATCCCGGAAGTGACGAACCAGGTAAGTTTCTAACTTTTTTCCTTTCAGGATGTTATGTTTGTGTTGTGTCATCCTCTCTAAAATGTTGTTTCCTGTCTCACCAACATACTGGGACCCACAGTGTTGGCAGGACATCAGGTAGACACAGTTCCTGGTGTAAACTGTGCCCGTACTGGAGGTAAGGAAGACCTCTTTGGTTGATTTGTTCTGAACATATTTTACCTGATGAAAATATTGACCCTGGTGTCGGGTTTTTGGGCAGTTGATTTGTGGGAGTTTAGCTCTAATTAAGTAGTGTTGTAAATTGCTGTTCTTTCTAAAGGCTGCAATTATGTGGTGGTCTGGGAGTAATTGCGCCGGTCCCAGGACATTTTGAAAGCTGGATTTGACAGCCCTGGTCAGTTTCACGGCAGCCGAGGAGTAAGTAGTAATGAATGGTACCAAGGCGCCCACTGTCTGAGCTGTTTTGGATAAATATGATCTATAGACTTTCCTTAAGAAAGATCTACTATATCCCCTAGGTCTAAGGGCCCTAAAAAGGACATCCGTTGCCACCTTGAAGTCCTGCTCCCGTGTGCATATGCGGTGGAACCTCAGAAGTTGCGACTTCACCAGGCCGGAAAATGTGTGTCTAGGATGGAAGCTGTTTCGGTGAAGGAGGGCATGGGTGTCCGTTTCTTTAAAGAAGACTCTGATGTCCAACCGGTGGGAAGAGCTGAAGTCGGGGCCCTTAAAAGTTGTGGTGTCTAAAAAATCTATGGACTGCAGACTGACCGTGGACTTCACTTTGATGGATGGATTGAAATTGTTTAAGGTGGCCACAAATCCATTAAAATCATCCCGGGAGTGTGTCCACACTCCCCAGATGTCATCCAAGTACCTATAATAGTGGAGAGGTTGTTTGTGACAGCAGGAAAGGGCTGCATTCTCCCACTCTGCCATAAATATATTGGCATAAGCGGGGGCAAATTTCTTGCCCATTGCTGTGCCTTTGATTTGGAGAAAAAACTCACCATTAAATTCAAAGTCGTTCTTCATTAAATTGATTTCTAACAATTGCAGTAGTTCCTTGTCTGGTCTTTTCTTATCAGGGTGTTTGGAAAAAATGTTCCTAATAGCCTGTAGGCCTTCTTGGATGTCAATATTTGTGTAGAGGCTATCTACGTCCATGGTGAACAAGATAGCCTGCTGGGGGATGTCCAATTGTTTAATTTTATTTACAAAGTCATATGTGTCTTTGATGTAGCTAGGGTGGATAACTGAAAGGGGATTTAAATAATGGTCTAAAAATTCTGCTGTGTAATATGTTTCACTGCTGCAGTCTGACACTATGGGCCGACCTGGAGGGATTTCATGGGGTTTGCTCCACTTGGCTGGATCTTTGTGTATTTTCGGGAGCATGTAAAAGATCCTGGCCCTAGGTTCTGTGGTACCTATCAGGTAAGTTTTCTGCTTTGCATTAATAAATTTTTTATCGTATAAAGATTGAATTATTTGTTTGATCCTGGGAACCGTGTCCAAATAAATGGGCCTGTTCAGTTTTGTGTAGTAGTTGGTGTCGTTCAATTGCCTATAACCCTCCCAAAGATATTGTGTTCTGACACTATGGGCCGACCTGGAGGGATTTCATGGGGTTTGCTCCACTTGGCTGGATCTTTGTGTATTTTCGGGAGCATGTAAAAGATCCTGGCCCTAGGTTCTGTGGTACCTATCAGGTAAGTTTTCTGCTTTGCATTAATAAATTTTTTATCGTATAAAGATTGAATTATTTGTTTGATCCTGGGAACCGTGTCCAAATAAATGGGCCTGTTCAGTTTTGTGTAGTAGTTGGTGTCGTTCAATTGCCTATAACCCTCCCAAAGATATTGTGTTCTGTCCTGTATTACGATTGTGCTGCCTTTATCTGCCGGTTTGATAATAATGTT